TATTCTAAATACACATAAATTCAGGGGCGTAGATAGCGGGGGGATCGGGGGATATATCCCCCCCCCACACTTATTGAGGTGGGGATATGGCGTGTACAATCACCCCCCCCCCCTACTTTCAGGAGGAAAATGGGGAAAAAATGCATATTTTACAGACAATAAATAATTAACTTTTATCTACAAATCAGTTATCGCTATTCATACTCTCCTAATGTATTATTACACAAATGAAAAGTAACATACATCTACTGTAAAATGTCTGTAACTCGTTCCAAGAATGACATTATTTTATTGAAACTCAGACGGTTCATTTTGGGTGCATTCCCCGGTACGATTTTTTTTCAAAATCCCCAAATCACGTCTTATCATGCTCACGAAAGTTAAATCCCTGCTTTATACCACCAACGCCACTGCACATAATCTTTGTGATACATTACTACTAATCAATACCTCGTGGGTTTTCTCATCCTCCTGTGGCACAGCTTTTGAACTATGGTATGTCCTCGCTGGAAACCAATACAGATTCTTTTAAGCTATAGGTACTGTAGCCGGGTATCGTATAGCCCACAGCCCACACCGCATCTACATGCATATTTGCACGCCTATTTTGAAGATAATGCAGTAGGGTCGATCAGGCGCGTAGCCAGAGGGAGCGGTCGCCCCCCCCCCCCAAAGTCGAGAGGGTATGGGGAAACAAAATGGAGATAAAAAATCCATAATTCCCTAGGTAATATGAAGAATATCATAAATTGACTCAAACTACGATGTGCGAGACATAATAGACAGAAAAAGAGAAGAGATGGTGCAGCGAAATAGAGCAACTATGCATGAGAGTAATTATCGACACAGTTCTTACTTGCGCGCGTCAGAATGTAGCTATTAGATGGCACAGAGATGGGGGGAGGCTTATACTAGATAAGCCTGATGAAAACGACGGAAATTTCAGAACATTGCTGAGAATGAAAATTCGTGCTGTAGACAAAATTCTACAGAAACACGTATTGGAAATACACAGTACATCAGCCCAGAAATACAAAACAGCTTACTATAGACTGTGCATCTACCATACTCAGAGAAGAAATTGTGAACAAGGCCAGAAAAGAGGGAATCTGGAGCGCTTTGGCAGACGTAACAATGGATCGGAAAAACAGGGAACAGTTAACTATTGTACTGCGGTACGTAGAAGTAGAAATCGGCAAAAAACACGATTCAAGAGTCTCCCATTTGCCTGATCGACTTCCTCTAGGAAATGGCAGAAAGGGTAAGGATAGACCCCACTGACGGCGGTGAGCTCGTTATGAGCGGGAACAACGTTGGCTCAGTGACATACTGCATAATCATAGCAAAAGCATATACTACCGCGAACTGAACTTCAAGCCCACCTTGACAAGAAGTGAGCGAGCAGCAATCAATGCAACGTGGAACTGAGACGTAGCCTACCTACATCATAAAAAACAAGGAAAAAGAAAAGAAAATACCCCAAACCAAATGTTTCCATCAATGATATTAAGGGTGTCTAATGATGAAACGCTGGATAGTTTATGTAATAGATTAGAATTAATCTATAAGTCAAAAACAGCCAGCCTATATCTGAAGATATCCTGCCAATATTGTTTGTCCTATATTGACTACTTTAACGTATCTACTTTGAAAAGAATGATAACAGAAGGAAAATACTATCAAGAGCCGACATCTTGAGAGACAACTCTCAAGATTTGATTACACGCCAAAGCTTCCGCGCTTCGCTGACCCCCCCCCCCCCCCTCTGGCGCACGCTACGCGTGCTCGCCGGCGCTTGGCGCCGGTGTATCATCATTTCATCCGTATTTCCGCCCCAAACAAAATCCTGGCTACGCCGTTGGAGTCGATAGCTCTACTCACGTAGCTCCATTAGCTCCCGCTTCTGTAGCAGGAGCGAAGGTGCTACACGGGTAAAACTATATGCCCAGTCGACGGGGTACCACAAATAGTGAACACCACGTAGCGTGTCACATACTCCCTGTGGGGAACCCTTATAGAAATTTTAGCACAGCTGCCAGTCAAAAGAGACAGTAGTAGTATGGTAGCCCCTTTTATTTGTCCATATAAGTGTTTGCTCGCCTGCCAGTGAGTCCACATATATGACTGGCCATCAGTGAGCCCGCCCAATAAAATTATGAAGGTGCTCCACAACTAGAGATGGAAAATTTAAGATGAAGGCTGAGGAAGAGGAAGGGCGAATTTGTAATTCTCACCTTGCTCCACTACTCCTTCGCCCCTTCTCTCTATATGTACTGGCAGAAATCTCGAAAAATTTCAATGGTTTAATCAATGGTCTGCGTCTAGTGTGTATGGTCAGAATATGCATTGTTGTTGAGCGAATCAAGGTCAAAGGTAAAAATGTATTGGCTATCAGCTAGGTCCCATCGTTGATATTTGAACAGAAAATAAGTGAACTGACCAAGTGAGAAGTGGTTTTTACCATTGCTGCTCTACCACTTCCATGCATTCTAGAGCTAGTTTATGACTAGTTTATCCAGATGAAAGACCGGATACCAGAAAAGCGTCGCCTGAGAAGTGTTGATCCTGCCCGCTAAGCGCGAATCTTGCGCGCAGTTCCGCGGCAAGGCGCACGCGACCGCGGGAACCTCCTACGAAAGTATCACGCGCTGGCAGCTATTGATCCGTGCGCCAAATCGATTCACCTACGCCGTTTGTATTTGGCACACAATGGGGAAACTAATGCAGCAAAAGAAGGTAAGACTTTAGGTCAAATGTAAATAAGATAATTGGAAATTTGGGTTGCAGCCAAATCTCATCAGGTTATAACAGTACTCGCGCCTAGGGTTCCTCCTATAGGCTAATGTTACAACAAAATACGTTCAGACTTATCACAGGCGGGCCGACGGCACGTGTGCATGGCAAAACCCGACTACAACATTCACTTTGCTCGCAGCATCGCGCCTAAGGTTCCTCCTATGTTAATGTAGATGAAATCAGCGCTCAGACGTCGGTCGCCGTTGACTGCCAAGATAGTTTTCTTCGGCCGTTCTCATACGTTGAAACTGGTCGCGGGCGTGCCGACGGCACGTGTGAATGGTAAAATCCGATCTATAATATGCGTGTACCCGCGTGTACGTGCGTGTACGTGCGTGTACGTGCGTGTACACCGGGTACACGCAGATACACGCACGTACACCCGGGTACACGGAGATACACGGCACGTACATCCCTTGTACACGGAGATACACGCACGTACACACGGGTACACCGCACGTACACGCGAAGTACACGCACGTAACAGCGAGTACAGCAGCGTACCGCAGCGTACAACGCGGCGTACAGCGCACGTACACGCACGTACACGCGGTACACGCACGGTACCCGCACGTACCGCGGGTAACACGCACGTACTCCACGTACACGCGGGTACACGCGCACGTGCACGCGATACACGCACGTACACCGAGTACACGCACGACACGACACGACGACACGCGGGCTACACGCACGTACCACGCGGTTCAGCACGCACGTCCACGCGGGTACACGCACGTGCACGCACGTACACGCGGGTACACGCACGTACACGCAAGTACACGCACGTACACGCAGGTACACGCACGTACACGCGGGTACACGCACGTACACGCAGGTACACGCACGTACACGCAGGTACACGCACGTACACGCACGTACACGCACGTACACGCGAGTACACGCACGTGCACGCGGGTACACGGACGTACACGCGAGTACACGCACGTACACGCGGGTACACGCACGTACACGCGGGTACACGCACGTACACGCGGGTACACGCACGTGCACGCGGGTACACGCGTGTATTTTCTATTTTCATTTTAAAAATAAGAAATAGGTCAGAAACCCCATTTCCTATTTGCAACGTCAAATGGGAAAACAAACTAACGGTATGTACCGTGATTGCCGGCCGACTGCACGTGTTCATTGTAAAATCCAAACACAACATGGAGGGGGGAACGGGTATTTTCCACTGATCTCTATAATATAATATTATAGAGATCAGTGGTATTTTCGTGATGCGGGATTGGCCATTTTAATTACCTGGGAACTGGGTAGGGGACGTGAGAAAGACCCTCTAAAATTGTCTGGGATCTGGGAAAATTGTGTCAATTCGTCGGGATTTCAATTTCTGCGCTAATTTTTTTAATTTTTTTTTTAATTAATTTATTTTTAGCCAGAAGATTTATGTAGACCCCAGATAAATAATAGTATATGTAAATATTAGTATTTATGTAGTGTTTAAAAACCTAAACTACCGAGTTTCCTGAAACATGTCTACATAATTTCCTGGGAACTGGGAATTGGGATTTTATTTTACTAGGAACTGGGATATGGAGTGTTTTTTGCTGGGAAAGGGGGAATCACAGACTAACGGATATCCGTTAGTCTGTGATGTACCTCCCCCCCATAGAAATAGATAGACAACTATCTATTTCTATCTATTGTTGTCTATCTGTTGTTATCTATTTCTATCTATCTGTTGTCTATCTATTTCTATGCTCTTCTATGCCTATGCTCTTCTATGCTATGCTATTTCTATGCCCCCTCATGCTTGTTGTCTATCTATTGTTATCTATTTCTATGCTCCCCCCTTGTTTCCCCCCTCAACATGCCAATGGGCGGGGGACCGGAAGTAACTCGTGCTCTAGCTCCCGGCAGCGTCTATTTTTTCCGTACCGCAAATGCGCAAAGGGTTCCTCTGATTGGCTGCTTTGATTTGCTCTGACGCCATAAACCTTCAAAACAAGAGAACAAACGCCCATTTGTAAATATGTGTTTTAGTTCATCATCAGGCGATTATAAGTAAGTTTAAAACACACATTTTACTCATTAATATAGAATATAATATCACTATAATTACAATTCGTTGTGTAACTGTGTTATTTTCATCTTAATCTTAAGTTATGAGAGGGTTTGGGCTCT